CGGCCATCTTGGAAACTCTTATACCACATGTAAACTATTGTTTTACTTATAGCAGACTCATAGGCCTTTGTTAAAATTTCACAGAATTTATTTCATTTTTTAAGCAAAATTGGATACAAATTCTTTGATGCATTTCTTTTAACGAACGAAAAATCGCCGACCTCATAAAACACGTCTAACCTTAGCGGCTGCCACAGACAAAGTAAACAAACATCTAAAGTTTTTATCATACTTCGGGGGCATGTATACCAACATATTACTTATAACTTTATATTCTATATACTTATTACTTTATATTCTATGCTAAATATTTTCTTTTCAATCAATTCAACTCACAATTTTTATTTAAAAAAATTAAAGACACAATAGTTTAATAAAAGAGGTAACCGCAAACTTTATAAAGTAAGTAGTAATTTTACTCATCATTTTATGTGGATTTACAAAATGTTTAAATATATGGGTTGTTCTATTTGAAATAAGAAAGTTGCATTTTGTTCAAATGGACCACTAATGTGAAACACCCTGTAGACTGTAATATTGCAACATGATGTACCTGTACCTGTTTTTCAAGAAAAAAAGTAAAGCACTTAAAACAACAAAAATGCAGTTATGACAAAACGACACCATTCGAAAAATTCGTGAGAATGTAATGTAACATGGAACGTAACTTAAAACAGTTACGCTGCGATGTTAGATTCATATTTCGTCATTTTATGCCTGGGAACGTTTCATATGCTGTGCTAAATTTTTAGATGGTACAAAATATCCTAAACTCTTTTTTGTACAAATCATTATAAATCTTAAGGTGACAATATTTATTGAGTGGCAAAGTAAATAAAGTTTACTTTGCCACCACACCCTTGTTTGTTGATATTAACTGCATGAGTATAGGGGCGATGACATCTGGTTAAGATAAATACCTGTAAATCACGAGATATTCATCTAAGACAAACAAATAGTAGTACCTACTTACAAACGCGTATTAAATAAAAGATAACAGAATGAATAAAATAAAAACGTGACGAAAATATATTAACACAAATACTCGAAAACTGAATAATATTATTTGATTAGGAAAAAAGAAGAATGTTTTTTAAGGAAGTCGTTAACCTTGTAGTGTGAAAGCTGCTTCATTTAGATAAGGAAAATATATAGGTTAAATAAATAGTTAGCAATATTGATATTGAAAATGATTCCCCACTAACACAAAGATTTCTTTGTGTCAAATATGACTGACTAAGAAATTAATTCAAGGCCTCGACAGACTTGGAGTTATTAAGAGTTAATTAGATTTTTTCGTGTGGCACTGGCAATTTAGAACAATCTTGTGTCTTGTTATTATTTTATTTGCCGACTCAAGTGAACAACAAAAGATGAATTTGTTTCGGTACGGCACGTACATTACGGGATTTTTTCAACGATGAAATTGCCTTCCGCTCAAAGAATGTTCCAAATTAAAAATAAATAGGTAACGTTGAAAAAATAATAAGATTGTATATCATCCAAAAAATTATTATTCTATATAGAATTTAATCTTTTGATGGATTGTCCCACACATTCTGCTTTAATAAATTAAAAACTAAATAATGACCCTGTTAATTTTATGACTTCATTAATAAAAACTTGGCACTTGTTGCGGTGTTGCAACACCGCTGCAAGGTTGACGTTTACATATGTATGTAAACAAAATAACAGAAAATAGACTGGAAATATTTTCTAATAGTATGTGTCATGCACCTTTAGGAATACCAAGAGAAATGTTGTGAAATATGCTGTATATAAATATTGAATTTTTTCATCTTGCATCCGTGTCTAGAGAGAAAGTTTTCAACGAAATTATTCATCCTCAAGGTCGTTTTTAATGCGTACGAACATTCCAACCATCGTTATGTGTACCAACCTAAAGAATTTGCCTTTAAAATATAAAAAAGTCCATCAGCAGCTTGGAGAACAGAGTTCCTGTTAATGAAAAAATGCTGAAAATCCAACTTTTAAATTTGGCAAAAAATTATAAAACTAAAATAGTTGAAATCTGTTGTTAAAAATATTTCAAAAATATTTGTACAATTTTTGAAATAATTCGTATAAATATAGAGTTAGAATTTAAGTTTTACAATATTGGACAATTTGTTCGGGAGTGAAGCATCACACCACCTAAGGTAACCAATGAAATGATTTCCCGCTTGAAATAAGACGCCGGCCGGTCGCTCAACTGCAATCTGCATCATCAGTTTGCAGTTTTAGTTAGTGTTAGGAAGTGTATCATTGTGAGGTTAGTACCACATTTCTGGTGAGTAATTATTGAATATTATTTTTCCGAATTGGTGGGTAGGTATTTGCAAAATTGTTCAGGGACTGGGATAAATAAATAATTATGACCTGGTGATCAAATGAGGATAAAAAGTGTTGTATGTTCCTACTGTGCTACATTATTGATCAGCTTAGGTACTATTTACTTTAGTACGAATTGTACTTTTCAGTTTGTAGTTTATGTTTTGTTATGTTTATTTTATGTTGTTAGTGTCAGTTTATATTAAATTTAGGTATTCTATTTTCCATATTTTTTGTATATGTCGCTTAGATACGTTCAAATGTCAAATAAATTATGTAACCAAATGCAACAAATTTTTCTCTGTGTGGTATTTAAAAAAATACTTGAATAAAGAATGTTTTACCAAGATTAGAAGAGAACAGTGTTATTGTCCACACTGTATACCATTTATTATAGTTTTAATTGTTATATATATTTATATTTCTTTAAATTGCAATACTATTGTATTAAAATAGTATTGTACAGTAAAACTGCTTAATCCCAAAACAAAATATTTCTTTAGACTTATTCAGATATTTTTTAAGACGATTTAACCTTATCTCAGGTAAAAATCTTGTTCGTAAATAATCACAGTGCGTCATCATTCCGGGAATTTACTAATAACACTGCTTCTGTCGATGTAGTAGTTCTGTCGACATGTCGGTATATAAAAATGCATATAAAAGAAAGAACCGGGGCAAACAAAGGTGCTCCATCCGACCCCTCTTCCACGTACTGTTCACTGTTTGGATGTAGTGTGCGGTTCACACCACACTTAGCCAGATGAAAGTTTGCATTATTTTGTTGCCGGGATTCGGACTCGTTTTGATCCTCGGTCTTTTCATCGAATTCAACGGCATAGCTTGAATGATGATTACTTACGCGGCATTGCGAATACCTACACTTTTGTGCTATGAGAGATTACTACTGCGGCCTCAAAAGTATGCAGTTACAACTTTACAAGTAGGTAATTTGTGGAAATGTAAATAAATAAAACTACACTGAAAAAAAAGTAATCAACTCTCTTGATAAAAAATTATTAGCGGCAAGAAACAATATTTTAACATAAAAGTGTATTTATTGCTTAAAGAAAAAAGTTCTTAGTGGAAGTGAAAACAAATATAAAATCTCTTGAACCAAGTGCAAAGTTTTTTGTTCAAAAGCTATGAAAATTATTTATATTTACGCAATTCATTCAAGATACATCACAATTATCCCAATAGCATGTCAATTTTACAACAAAATCTGGTAGCTTCTCTACATGGGAGGGGATGCAAAACGGAACTTGCAGAGATTATTTTTTTCAGTGTATGCGCATGTAAAATATTGCTTATAACATTAACGTGCAGTGTTTATTTTAGCACCTGCCGTTTGAAATATTAATTTATTATATTAACACTGGCTGGCCGTTAATAGAGAAACGCAGCGAACGTTTTAATGAGTCCAAAAAGGCTCTTACGCTTGTCACTTAATCACGGTGTGTATTTTTGTTCGTGCAGACGGTTTGGCAGAGCCGGGGACTTCCCGGTTCGATCCTGCAATTATTACGAAAGCGACGCTTTTTTGTTTTAGCGTCGGTGCATCGTAAATTACGTGTCTTGAAGTGTTGCCAACTTTATTTACCTGATGCCGCCGACAGACTGTAAAATACAATGACCAAAGAGGGGCTTTCGGTAGTTTTTGTGAAAATTTTGAACACATTTTTAACTTTTAGAATAAGGACAAATAGCAACCCTGAATGTACTATACCATAGAAAAATAATTTACTATACTTACTATAATTTACTAGATCTTAATTATTCGACTGCAATCCTTATTTCAAGCGGGAAATCATTTCATTGGTTATCTTAGGTGGTGTGATGCTTCACACCCTAACAAATTGTCCAATATTGTAAAATTTATATTTTAACTCAAAGTTATATCTATATCTATTATATTTATAAGAATTATTTAAAAAATTGTACAAAAGAGTAACATTTTTTGATATATTTTTAACAACAGATTTTAACTCTTTTCTTGGCAATATTGTGCAAATGGTTAAATATAAAATCTTAATGTTTCCAACAAAGTATACTTGAGCATATTACACGACATAACTACAACTAAATGGCCCGGTTTTTGTAAGACGTCGTCGTATACCTTTTTTTTTTGTTCTCCAAATAAGATTGAATGGCTCACCCATACAGCTTCATCCGCAATAAGTTTATTATGTGACACGTATAAAGATTATAAATTGGGGAGAGACAAAGAGGCTGGTGAATGCTCGACAAGATTTTTTATACACACGTGAAATCTCACGTGTGTCGGATTAAAAATTTGTTTCGGTTTGAAAAGGGGAGTAAAATGTATCCTAAACATTTTTTGTGGAGGAAGTAACGTGTTGTATTAGTAGTGATGATGATTTGTGGGTAAAGCTATTTTTAGTTTTACCTATTTTTACCTAACTTTAAATTAAAAACAGCTTAAAACGCATTACATATTAAAATTTCTGCAAATAATTATTTTCTTGTTGAAATCCTGACCTAAACAATGAGGTTAATGACTTTTGCATTTAATTATACAGTGAGTCATTTAATCTTTTTAGTATTTAGTATTCATAGGTGCTCTTAGATTAGCTGTACTTTATTTGTTTATCAATGAAATTAAATTTTATAAATTGTTCTAAATTCGTGTTTTTTCTTCTTTTCAGGGATTTGAGACCACAAAGCACAGAAAAATCCCAAGAACGCTTGAGGTTGAGACTCTACCAACTGTACGCTTGGGGACTGCCCATGATAATCGCCTCGACTGCTGCAACTTTAGATTTTGTACCAAAAAGCGAGGACAGTAATTTAATAAGACCGAATTTTGGCGAAACCAAATGCTGGTTTACTGGTAAGAACAAAATATTTCATAGTTCATCATTTATGAGTGTTGGTCCCAGAGGAGTGCCCTGTGGTACCTCTTTTTATGACGTTCTTGTATCATTGAAGTGTTGCATTTGTATTTTATAGATTTTCACATCGAGAATCTGTTTCTATGGGGCTGTAAAGCCATTAGGATTAATAGGTCAATTCTGCGCACATCTGTAAGCATCTATAAGCAAATCTGTAACTTTCTATAAGCTTATAGACAATTTGCAATTCTGCGCTTCCTGTAGCTTACAGAAAATCTTATAGAATCGTAAATATTTACGATCGGGTGTTTCCCAATCGTTGCTAGTTACAGTTTGTTTTTGTTAGGTTATGTAAAGCTATTTTAAAGATTAAAAACATAAATATTTTTAATAATGTCAATGTGGATATGATAATGGTAATATTTATCAATTGGGACAAGCAGCCTGAGCCAACTATATTAGAAATAATTTCAATTTTGACTAAATAAAACAATAATTGTATTAATAGGTACAAAAACATTATATTTTTATTTTACATATGAAAATAAAATAATATTCTTAAAAAAATAAACTACAAACCTACTCGGTCAAAAAAGAAATAAACAACAAAATAAATAAATATTCTAATTAGTCAAAAATTAATAGGTCAAATATCAAAATTTGGATTTAAAAATTTAATTTTTTTCATTTCAAATCCTAATTGTTCTTTTTACAGCTTTATATAATTTTGTAAATAGTTTTTAATAAGCTCAAAATGTTTTTTTTATTTTCTGGTCCTTGTTAAAATTTATTAAGTTCCTGCCATAATCTCCATCCATTGCATTCAAATATAGTTCAACTGATGAGGAGTGGTGTTTTTTTATCTTTTTTTCTTGGTTGCTTTTGCGTTACCACTAACCATTGATTGACTTCTTCACTCAACGCACTAACAATTTTATTCATTATATATTATATGTTCTTATATATATATATTATATGTTCTTTTAAATGTAAAATTATCTTACCTCATTTTATTCCTCAACCAGTTTAAATTTCTTACTTTTTGTATTATATTATATGCTGGTACATAAATGAAAACCGATAAACTGTGGATAAACCAAAGAATACATATAAAAATATAGGTTATGTATGATCGTAAGTAAATAGGCGTGAAGTTGCAGTAGTTCGTTTATACTACTTTAAATTAGACATTTACAGATAACATCCCAGAATTGCCACTTTTACGATTCTATAAGCATTATAGTTACAGATCATCGTAAGCTATAGATTTACGAATTTACAGAAATTTTACGAGAGAACCCAGAATTGACCTATAAGTTGTCCCTAATATAATTTTAACTATCACTGTTAATGGACATTTTTTATTACTTTCAAGTAAATTTGTCGGTGCTAATTTATGGGTTTGAGATAATAAAATAATGAAATGACTTTAGTCAAATTCGCACGGTAGCACAAATTAAAAAAAATTGTGGAAAAAACCGCACATTAGGATAAATGTAAAAAACGTTGGGAAAAATTCGCAGTTGCATAAATAAAAAAAATAGTTGTAGGATAAGTTTGCACAGTGGGATAAATTTAAATCGTGGTAGGACAAATTCGCACAGTGGTATAAATAAAAAAATTGGTAGGATAAATTATCAAAGTTTTCGAAAATTTTTAAAATTATCGGATCTTTTTTTTTAATATTCAAGTTTTAATATTTTTTATAACTTTTAAGTAAATTTGTCATTGCTAATTTATAGGTTTGAGATAATAAAATAATGAAGCGACAAATAAAAAAATTGTGGAAAAAACCGCACAGTATGATAAATGTAAAAAACGGTGGAAAAAATTGGGTGGCAAAAATTAAAATAATGGTAGGATAAATATGCACAGTGGGATAAATTTAAATCGTGGTAGGACAGATTCGCACAGTGGCATAAAATAAAAAAATGGTTGGACAAATTATCAAAATTTTCGAAAATTTTCGAATTTTTCTAAATTTTTAAAAAAATTATGAATTTTTCCAAATTTTAATAACTCCTATTACTTTTAGGTGAATTTGTCGGTGCTAATTTATAGGCTTGAGATTATAAAAGAATCAAACGACTTCTGTCAAATTAAAAAAATTGTAGAAAAAATCGCACAGTAAGATAAATGTATATCGCAGTGGCATACATTAAAAAAATAGTGGGCCAAATTATCAAAAATTTCTAAAATTTTCGAATTTTTAATACCTATTCAAAAATTTTAATATTTTGTATCACTTTTAAGTAAATTTCTCATTGCTAATTTAAAGTTTTGAGATAATAAAATAATGAAGCGACACAAATTAAATAAATAAAAAAAATGTGGAAAAACCGCACAGTAGGATAAATGCATTTACATGTAAAAAACGGTGGCAATATTTAAAATAATTGTAGGATAAATTTGCACAGTGGGATAAATTTAAATCATGGTAGGACAGCACAGTGGCATAAAATAAAAAAATGGTAGGACGAATTATTAAAATTTTCTAAAATTTTAAAAATTTTGGATTTTTCTAAATTTTCCAAAAATTATGAATCTTGCCAAATTTTAATATTTTTTATTACTTTTAAGTAAATTTGTCGGTGCTAATTTATAAGTTTGAGATAATAAAATAATGAAACGACTTCTGTCAAAATTGCACAGTAGCACAAATTTAAAAAAAAAATTGGAAAAAACCGCACAGTAGGATAAATGTAAAAAACGGTGGGAAAAATTCGCTGTGGTATAAATTAAAATAATGGTAGGATAAATTTGCACAGCGGGATAAATGTTAATCGTGGTAGGAAAAATTCGCAAAAAATGGAAGGGCAATTTTTCAATATTTTCCAAAATTTATAAAAATTTTAGATTTTTCAAAATTTCCAAAATGCATAAAGTTTATGGGTTTTGTTTGTATTTCGATATTATTAAGTGATTTAGAGATATAATATTTAGAAAAATGTTTTCGATAACGTTTATTAAAAATGAGTTTCAAAATTTCCAAAATGTATAAAGTTTACATAAGGGTTTATGGTTTTTGTTTGTATTTCGATATTATTAAGTGTTTTAGAGATATAATATTTAGAAAAATGTTTTCGATAACGTTTATTAAAAATGCGTTTTAAATTTTATTTTAAAAAATTCAAATAAACTTCTAGACGTTTCCAATTTGACAAACGACATGTAAAGAGATATGGTGAAACATTCTCATAGGGACATATTGTTGTTAATCATTATTATTATTAATTATCTTTCGCGTTTTGTCATTAATAACGTTGCTTGTTTATAAATAAATACCGACTCACGCACTGTATACATGTATACAGTGCGTACATGTATACAGCTGCAGCTCGAATTTTATTTATAGCGAGGTCAATTTGTCAACGCGGCCAAACAAAATTAATTACGGTTGCAATGGTGCAAAAAATCGCCTGCCTCTGTATATCGATGTTAAGTATAGGCATATTTGCCTGTGTTTCCAATGCAAATGGAACGGCTGTTATTAACAGTCTGTTAACAGGGCTTTTATGATTATTCGAACAAGAATTTAATATTTATTGGAGTAGACCTCGACTTAAAAGAGTTTTTTGACATTGTGACTATTAATTAGTACCCGGAAAAAAACCGATAGATATTTTTATGGGAAATCAAATGCTCTACAAAAAAAGTCTCCTAACATTTTTTGCCAAGTTCACTCCATCAAAAGTTATTCAAGGTTAAAGTTGAAGTAAAAACGAAATTCTTGTTATAGATCATAATCTTTATTTTCTTTGAAAAATATAATTTTAACTGTTATTTAATCGTTTAAATAATAACAATCATGTTGTTTTTTATTGGAAATTGTTAATTAGTTATATAATACACATTTATAAAGAAAAAAATCAAATTATCATCTATAAAAAAATAAATCTACAGAGGAAAAAACAAGAATTTTGTTTTGATTTAAATTTTAACCTTGAATAACTTTTGATATAGTGAATTTAGCCAAAAATGTTAAGAGACTTTTTTGTAAAGCATTTGATTTCTCATAAGAATATTTTTCCGGGTACTGATTTTTACATGAATTACAAAATTAAAAGATCAAATTGTAAAACTATACCAATTTTTAAGGCATGATTTTATGGAAACGGTTAATCTGACGGAAAATCAGGCCTTTTTGTAGAGCATTCAATTTTCTTCAAAAAATATTCTTAAGTCAATTTTGCTAAACACAATGGTTTGGGAGTTCTGAGACAAAAACTCGCTCAGGGAAAAAAATCTAAAATTGCGATGATAGACCTCTTTATATTAATATTATGGACTTAAACTTTCACAATAATTTTGTTTGTCACCCCAAAAAATATTTTCGATATACATTACATAAAAAATTGTCGATTTTTTTGGCCCATATACCCTCCTATACACCCACGAGTCGCCACTGTTTTGACACCGTATTTTTTCCTTTCTAATTATTTAAGGTGTTTGTGCCTGTTAAAGTCTAAAATTCCAGTAAACTGGCATCAAATGACAGGTAGAAGATATCAGCTGCCTTTTTCGAAGGAAGAGGCTAATTTTCTCGTTTTCGTGTTGAATTTCGCTTCTTTGTTGAGTTTTGCGTGGAGTCTGATTACACAGTCGCCACCTCGCGTTACAAACTGCACATTTTGCATGGCGTGTTTTTATTTTTCCTTATAATTCGATTAAACGACGGAAAAATACATTTTTAAAAACTTTTTATGACGTTAATTTGTTAAAAACATATTAAAGGGTCATTCCACGTTACTCGGGGATTTTTGTCCCGCCCGTCACAATTAAAAATTGTGAGTAAAAACTACACCTTATAAAATTTATTTAAAAATATGGTTTTATTATGCTTTTAATAAGTTATAAGCACAATAAAAATAATATTATAAAATATTAATTTTATAACTTGTGGTTTTTACTCACAATTTTTAATTGTGACGGGCGGGACAAAAATTACCGAGTAACGTGGAATGCCCCTAAAGCAATAGATTTTGGTAATTAATAATTT